TTGCAGTAATAGTCAGTTGCTATAGATGCCACGAGTACAGTTCATAAAATAGGACAAACATTCATTCAGTAAACAATGTCATTTCAGGAAGCAGTACAGTTAAGCATTCAGAAAATAATTATAATTTAACATAGCTTTACAACATTGTTACTCACAGATTACTAGGCTACAGACAGGCTAGTCAACGTCCTCGGGTGCCAACCCTACACAGTTACAAAACGAACACATACTAAGTTACACACTTCGGATTTAATAACTTGGCCCCTATCTTGACTTGGTGTGGTTCTATAACATTAACCTCATTAAGATGTCTTAAGCATGGCCTAGGAATGCCTATGATGGGATGAGGATGCAAAAATTACACTTTAAAACACTTTTCAAAATTTGCTGAAAACAGGAGTCTCGCTCGAGCGTGGCTTTCCCCGTTCAAGCGGACATGCAAACAAAGAGGATCCGCTCGAGCTTGACTTCCCTCGCTCGAGCGGACTGCAAACTCATGAAAAAGTACTGGTTGCACGTTTTTCACGCTCGATGGACGCTTGACCCACGATCGAGCGTGAGACTCAGACCCTCGTTCGAGCACAGATTACCTCACTCGAGCGGACTACAAATCACATAAACTTCTGGGCATATCATTTCAAGCTCAAGTGTGACTTCCTACGCTCGAGCAGAAGTGCATGTACTCAGAGTGTACGCTCGAGTGTGAAGTCCTTCGCTCAAGCGTAGATCAAAAATCTGGAATTTCCAAATTGATCCCCAAGCACAAAACTCAACCTCTAAAGCTTCAAATTCAATTCTTTTGGGCTAATTTTCTAGAAAATACTTAGAAACCCATAATACAACATGTTTCAAAGATTATTTTATAAAATCAAGCCCAATGGTGTGACCATTGAACACAATTTTGAATGAAACTTTATGAACATAGCAAGAACACAACATGCGTGAGTCCTTAAGAACTCCAATGCTCCAAAACATAACCAAATGCAAGATTGAGCTCAAAAACATGGTGGATTTCTAGAATATGACCAAAATATGAACATGCATGTGGAAATTCTTATGGAAATGACCTCAAACTCAATGAGATGGACATGCATGCACACATTGCTTCTCAATACAACATTTAAACTAATTCTAGACTCTAATCACTACTTCTTCCAAGAACCATGCATATAACAACTTAAATTCATAATTAAAAGAACGAATTTCCTACCTTAAGTCTTGAATTCCAAGTATGGAAGTCTAATTTTGCAAATCTTCTTCAATTCCTCTAATTTTCCAAGCCAATTCTTGATGAAATCAATTTTCTCCTACTCTTCCTCTCTCTCACGGTTTGCTCAAGAAGATGGATGAAGAAATGATGTAAAAACAAACTCCAAACAATGACTCTTAAGGTGGCCCACTCACTGGCAAAGATGTAATTACCTAAGTTCAATTAGTTTAACATTATATAATCGAATTTAATCATTTCAAATCAAATTTTAATTAAACCTATCATAAAATCCTATAAATCCTAATTAGCATATAACATTAGTCAATTTCTGAATCGGTCGCCGATAAGGCTTTCAATTTGCAATTCGAAATTAAAATACGAACAGATCATTCAGTAATCAAACAGACAGAAATGCATTTAAAACAATACACTCATGCAATCAATTCAGGATTTCATCGTAATCAATTACTTATCATGCTTGATCATAGTTTAACACTAATTAGAAGTGAGGGTTGTCACACCAACCAATGGTGGAAATATGCCAATGGTCGAATTGAACATACCTGAAAGGCATTTTCTCATGCCTTTCAAGAGAAGTACCTCCCTTCCACTGCAAGGGAACATTTACAGAGAGAGTTTGAGGAACTTGAACAATCTGACTCCACAGTGGCGAAGTTGAGGCTACTTTTACGAGTCTGTCTCGTTTTGCACCCGACTTGGTGGCTACTGAAGAGCGTAGATGCCTAGAGTTTGAGAAAAGGCTGAGGCTAGGAATCTTAATGAATGTGATAGAAAATATGATCCGGGATTATGACAGATTGGTGGAGCCTGCTGCACATGTGGAGATTATGCTTGAAGGTGAGGAAAAGAAGCGGAGATATAAGAGATAAGGGTTTACCAAATCTCGAGGGGGTTTTATGGTATCAAAGAAATAGAAGAGTTCTACATCTTCTCATCAACCACTGTTACCAGCCGCGTGTCATCAAATCCTATGTCAGGAAAGAGTACGAATAGTACGGGACAAAGTGGAACATAACCCACATTTGTCGTTCTCACATGAACCGGGCATGTGGACATCTCAAACACATTCCAAAACATGAACATTTTACACACAACACTAATAACTACAAGGATTCTCAAATGTCACTTATCAATTTTTCATTTCATCAAAATCTTGAACAAACCCTTAGGGTTCATGTAAAAATTTGGAGTTTTTCCTTTCAATTGTTTATTTCCCTTGTCTCAAGTATGTTTATTCACTATTTCATAATTGTAAGCATAATCCATCATCAATTACAAATAAATACTTTATCACACAAAATCCATATATATATAAATACATCTCATTCATCTTAATAGTCCTATTTATTACAAGATTCACAGCTATTTAGACCAAAATACAAATATACAAGGGTGAAGGTATTCCTACTTCAAGATTGTGTAGCAAACGATGAAGGTCCACTCGATAAACTTTCGAAACACCACATTCTATTCGATTCAAAACGTAACTCTTAACGAGTAGAACAACTTTAATGAAGACCCAATGATCAATTCTTGCTCTTTCTAGATGAAAAAAATACACTAAGGAGTTTTTGTGTATATTACATTAGGAGTTTTTTTGGAGTATTATATTAAAGTGTTACGTTTAGAAAAAAATACACTAAAAAAATTTTGTGTATGTTACATTAAAGTATTACAGTGAGGAATTTTTTTGTGTTACATTAGAATGTTACACTGAGTTTTTTTTTTCAGTGCTATATTAGAGTGTTATGCTTCAAATAAGTGCATTAAGGAGTTTTTTTTCGCGTTACATTAGGGTGTTGCACTAAAAAAATTTTGGGAGTGTTACATTGGAGTATTACAATTTGAAATTATACATTTAGCCAAAACTTATTAAGTAATTTTTGCACTCCTTTTGAAATGTTTAAAGAATCCCACATCCTTTTGAAATGTTTGAAAAATCCCATATTTCAAGTCATTTTTGTACTCCTTTTGAAACGTTTTCCAAATAAAAAAGATTTTCATATAAAAATTCATCCAAATTTGATTCCCATTTATTGTGTACCGTACCTTCCGAACACAAAAGAAAAAAAAAAGAAGAAACATAATAGAAATAAGGGTATAATCATAAATCTAATTTTTAAATAATATATGAAATCTACCTTTTCAAAATCAATGAGACTAATTGGTCTATAAGAAAATCCTTAGGATTAAATGGATCAGCATTCCAAACGATGAGATTTATAGGTAAATTTTCCAAATTATTTCTACCTATTAAACATAAAATTATATAAAAATGATAAATCTTTTACATTTTTATATTTTTGCTAAGTTAATTTTTAAAACATGTTTAGATGATGATCGTGTAATGGGTGGGTTATGTGTCACGACCCAAACCCGGCCCTATGGGTTTAGCACCGTAACCGGCCAGTAATCCGAGGTTACCGAAGGCCTACAGAACAGTAATACAGTAGAACAGAGCAAGGCCTTCAATTAGCAGTTTAAACATGTGAACATGAACAGATAATCATACTGTCAACAGATAAAATGCAATTAACTAACATATACTCAGTCAATTCGTTTCTTTCAATTTCAGTCAGTCAGTTCAGTACTTATAACTAGTTCAATTATCAGTAATCAATGTTTAACGGTAATCAGTGGTGAGGGTTATTACATTATGTTTGTTGATTTTTTGGATGATTATCATGTAATAGATGGTTGTTTTGTTGTTAAAAGATATTTTTGGATTATTATCATGTAATGGATAGTTATCATGTAATTGATAGTTATTAGGATTTTAATCTGTAATTGATATGTTCAATATATGAAATATTTTTAGTTTTGAATTTTTTAATTTAATAGATTGGTTTAATAATGACATCAAAATTGTCAGCATGTTTAACTTTTCAAAAAATAGAAAACTAATTTAACAAAAATAAATATCAAAAAATTTAATTTTAAAAAATTATTTCTACCATTCCAAAAGATAAAATTATATAAAAATAATGTGTTTTTAATTTTTTTTTCACCAATTTAATTTTTAGTTTCCTAGAAGAAAAAAAATTTAAAAATAAATTCTGAAAATCAAATCAAACAGAACTTTATAACTAAGAAAATGCCAACATTATTCATTAAAAATAAAGTCATTACATTTGAAAAATTATTAAAAATAAGGTTATTTATAGTATCAAATTTTTTTTAAAAAGTTCTCTTATTATATTTAACAAATTAAAATCTATTTATCTATCTATATCTAAAGCAAAGGCTTGAGGCCTGAGTCGGTGACCGTCAGTCTGATAAACAAGATCCTTAGCGATCATTTGATAGACAAGATCAATTTGATAAACAAGACAAGACCTTCACCCCTTAAGTGACACGTGTTTTCAAATCAAAATAAAAATTTATATATTTCATATTTAGCATCATATCCATTGTAGACACCACTAATTATTATTATATAAAGAGAAAGTCCAACTTGATATTTACGGCTCACTTTTTTAATTTTGCCAATCTACCCCTATAATGTCACTTGTTTAATTTTGCTAAAGTACCCCTATAACAATTAAGTGGGTGGTTATAACCTAAATCTACATCTAAGTTTATTGTTTATTGTTTTTTTTTTTTTTTTTCAAGTTTCTGATCTTATTTCAAATTTTAAACTCAATCATACCATTTATAATTTTATGTTTCTTAAATAAATTGATCATATACACGCATGTGACACCACTTCTAAGTATATATTTGTACACACAATAATTAATTAATACTAATTGGAACTGTGGCAGAAAAATCAAGGCAAAGAAAGCAAATGGAACTCCATTTTCATGTCGGTGGGTTGAGATAGCCACATAAGTGAGAACAATCCAACCACACTGCTAGCAGATATACTACTATTAATGTATGCCAATATATACTATGCAATCAGTTCACAGAAATTATGAAAGCTCCACATCAGGGGACTCTGGAGATTCTTGATCAAGGTTCGACCAAACTGAGAAAAACACCACCGAAACCTCATCACAAGGGAAAAGGGAACAGAGGATCCCTACTCGGTTCGACTCCTTTCCCCAATTACCAAATTGACTTCAAGCTAAACATCAATGTAATTAGAGAACAAGAGAAGAGAAAGTATTGGAGTGGATGTTTATCATCATATCATTGGAGTAGGACCCTCTTCCATTCCAGTATCAACTTGGGTAACTCCCAACATGATTCCAGTCAGCATAAGCTTGCCAGCGTCAGGGAAATCCTTGTGCTGCATCAAGATTGCTTCAACAGAACAACCCGTATCCTTCAGAGTTTGTAGCTCCAAATTTTCTTGCCTCAGTGGCAGCACTTTGTCAAAGCCACCTTCAAAAGTCTCTGCTTCAGGTCCATAACACCTGCTCGAAGCTTGGAAAAGCATTGTTTCTCTCAGAACTTGTAAGCACTCGTCATCGCTCCACCCCTCGGCTATAGATGTTTGATAGATTTTTTCCCAATCGTCCTGATTGGCTACATTCCTCCAGCACTCCTCCAAAAGGCTTCTGTTACATTTGAGAAAGGAGGAACTGGTCCATGCAAACAAATCGAAAGGCTGTAATGAGAGCTCTCTATTTTGACTTTTTAGGCACAGCTCAATAAGGTCTACTGGTGGAAGAAGCCGATTTCCAATGTTTTTCTTTTCTTCATCATCAGGAAGAAGTTCTAAAATCTGTTCCTGCAAGGAGAGTAACACAACAAATTACACGGAAAATTGATCAAAATTTGGAATAAAATAATTTCCTGCATTCTAATCAATAGCCTTTTATTATCCATAACATTCAGAGTTCTTTACTCATAATTAGAACCCTCAAAAACAAGAAAACAGCCAACAACATAATTGCTGAATTAGACAGATTCATTGCTAGAGAAAAATGTACAATCAATTATAGAATGTACTAGAAGCTACTTGTATAGTATAGATTATAATCAAAAATATTTTCCAAATTTTAGAAGATTTTGAGCTGTTCGCATTTACAAGGTGGAGTTTGTTTTGGCTGCCACCACTACTACTAAAGAATAGGGATTTGGCGATTTTCTCTTCTTTTTTTTCTTTCTTTTCTTTTCTTTATTAAAGCTTCCAACCTCAACTAGCAAGCATGTGAAGGTTTGGCATCTGAAGCTAGATGCTTCTGCACTTATGCCAAACCAGCCGAAATAAAACAAAACGCACAAATGTAGTTTACAAGAATCAAACTCAACCAAACATAGCCTTAAGTTCCATCAAATGGGGTCGGCAACATGAATCCTTCTTCTCCACTCAACTCCATCAATGGCCATTTGATTAGTCAAATTAAGGAGATTCATATCTCTATTTACTACACTAGCCAACACCATTTGAATAGAGATGCACAACTAAATTTCATCACTAATAAAATTTTCAAGACAAATTTAGAAACACCAATCACCAAAGAAGAAAATTATTTAGAAACACCAATTACAAAGGGGGAAAAAGGAATAATCCCCAACATGGAAATGTTATTCAATAGAAAGTTTCTGTGATTATCAATGCCACACACATTGATAGTGAATTTTAGTTTACTTGACCAAAATAGAAATTCCATGATGGTTTGAAATTCACTACTTCTAATGAGCCAAGTTTAACCAAACCATAATGATTGAAGGTACCTAAGTCAAAGGAGAACTGGTCTAGAAGTTTTTCTATATGGCTAACAGCTAAGAAAAGACTTCCAAGGGAAGCATTCAAGCCAATTCATAAGTGCACAACACAAGTAAAACCCTAAAAAATGGCCAGCAAGTCCATTGATTAAATTGATAAATGAGTCATGCACATTCAAACAACATTGGTGATTGTGATGGGAAAATCAAATTATATTGCGTAAGTTTATAATTACAAAAAAAAGATTAATAAATCAGACAGCACAATCACAGATAAGGTTCCAGTGAAAAAAACAACGCAAATACTTATTCCATTTCAACATACCTGCAATTTCAGAATCCTCAAATCAGCTTCAATGCGCTTCAACTTTTCGTCACAATCAGCATTCTTTCCTGCAAAATATTAAATAACCATCATTCTCTTCTAAATGAAATGTACAAATACAAAAACAAAATCAAAATGATAAAACAAAAATTATACTGGGCAGGAGTGAAAGATATTAACAGGTTCAAACCCCAAAATAAACATTTCAGTCTGCCAAAAAAATAACAAAATATTTGGAGCTATCTGGTGAAAGAGGAATAACCTATACATACAGGTACTTCAAATTCAAAATCCTCTTGCAAATAAGACACCACACTAACCCCCAAAAAAACAAAGGAAACCATGTAAAAAAATATTTATGTTCTATACAGCACCGTCCTTCACTGCTATAAGTGAGCATCACAACATTGACTCTGTTTGTAAATATATCTTGATCCATAAAATCTCTAATTACATGCAGTAACATCCTAATATTAGCCAACCAAGCAATGCAACACTTGTACAACAAGAGAATATAGGGAAACAAATATTATAAAAAAAATAAAAAAGAACATGCCCCAACCAACAAACCAACCAACAATAACTATTAGTAATGATACACGTTTCTAATTTGTTTCCCCAACAAACTGATACCCTAAGAAACACGAACACTTCTAAGAAGGTGACGTATCCATGTTGTGTCCATGTCGGATACGGACACTCTTTGGACACTCTTAAGGCACGTGTCCGACACTCTTCAAAACGTGTCTTATTTTTTAAATTTCTTTAAAGACTCGAACACTCTTTGGACACTTGGAGGACATATGTGTCAATCGCTTAAACACACGTGTCTATCAATTAGACACATGTGAAACTATTTATAAGTTTGAACAAAACAACTTAAGATACAATAATAAAATAAAACCCATATAAATTTATAGAAATTAGTGTTATATTACATTTTTATTATCTTTGAGTGACATATTTATATATATAACATATAATAAATATATAAAATTATATATTTCATGTGTGTCCCCCACGTTTCATGTTAAAATCCACCTACTCTCCACCTACTTCACCCACTTAAACCTACTCCACTAAACCTAACCCACTACACCACTACCACCTCACCTACTCCACTAAACCTAACCCACTACACCACTACCACATCCACTTCACCTACTCTTTACCTACTACACACTCACCCTCTTCTATATATAGGAATCATGAATCATTGTAATTTATATCAATATACATCATTCAATAATACAATCATTTCTCTTTATACATTAAATTTCTTCATGGTATCAGAGCAAGGTTAAGAAACTAGTAATTCTGCTTCCCCGGCAGGCGGCAGCCTCGCCTTGGCCGCCCGCCGGACCTCTACACATACCTTCACTCCGCTGCCACAAATTATTCTTCTTGATCTTGATCTTCTTGTTGTTGCTGATTCAAATGTTTGGTTTTCATCATATGAGGAACATTCTCAGATGACATAATCACTACCGGTATATTTCTCAGAGATAAAGATTCCTCTGTTGTCTTGTTTGGTGTGCTCTTCTTGTGAGCATTTTATTGGCGGAAACGGCTTTAAGCATCAGATTTCCTGATCGGATCTCTCAAGCCCCTTAAATCAGCTGTTTTCGCTCTCGGAAGCTAACCCACTACACCACTACCATCTCACCTACTCCACTAAACCTAACCCACTACACCACTACCATCTCACCTACTCCACTAAACCTAACCCACTACACCACTACCATCTCACCTACTCCACTAAACCTAACCCACTACACCACTACCATCTCACCTACTCCACTAAACCTAACCCACTACACCACTACCATCTCACCTACTCCACTAAACCTAACCCACTACACCACTACCATCTCACCTACTCCACTAAACCTAACCCACTACACCACTACCATCTCACCTACTCCACTAAACCTAACCCACTACACCACTACCATCTCACCTACTCCACTAAACCTAACCCACTACACCACTACCATCTCACCTACTCCACTAAACCTAACCCACTACACCACTACCATCTCACCTACTCCACTAAACCTAACCCACTACACCACTACCATCTCACCTACTCCACTAAACCTAACCCACTACACCACTACCATCTCACCTACTCCACTAAACCTAACCCACTACACCACTACCATCTCACCTACTCCACTAAACCTAACCCACTACACCACTACCATCTCACCTACTCCACTAAACCTAACCCACTACACCACTACCATCTCACCTACTCCACTAAACCTAACCCACTACACCACTACCATCTCACCTACTCCACTAAACCTAACCCACTACACCACTACCATCTCACCTACTCCACTAAACCTAACCCACTACACCACTACCATCTCACCTACTCCACTAAACCTAACCCACTACACCACTACCATCTCACCTACTCCACTAAACCTAACCCACTACACCACTACCATCTCACCTACTCCACTAAACCTAACCCACTACACCACTACCATCTCACCTACTCCACTAAACCTAACCCACTACACCACTACCATCTCACCTACTCCACTAAACCTAACCCACTACACCACTACCATCTCACCTACTCCACTAAACCTAACCCACTACACCACTACCATCTCACCTACTCCACTAAACCTAACCCACTACACCACTACCATCTCACCTACTCCACTAAACCTAACCCACTACACCACTACCATCTCACCTACTCCACTAAACCTAACCCACTACACCACTACCATCTCACCTACTCCACTAAACCTAACCCACTACACCACTACCATCTCACCTACTCCACTAAACCTAACCCACTACACCACTACCATCTCACCTACTCCACTAAACCTAACCCACTACACCACTACCATCTCACCTACTCCACTAAACCTAACCCACTACACCACTACCATCTCACCTACTCCACTAAACCTAACCCACTACACCACTACCATCTCACCTACTCCACTAAACCTAACCCACTACACCACTACCATCTCACCTACTCCACTAAACCTAACCCACTACACCACTACCATCTCACCTACTCCACTAAACCTAACCCACTACACCACTACCATCTCACCTACTCCACTAAACCTAACCCACTACACCACTACCATCTCACCTACTCCACTAAACCTAACCCACTACACCACTACCATCTCACCTACTCCACTAAACCTAACCCACTACACCACTACCATCTCACCTACTCCACTAAACCTAACCCACTACACCACTACCATCTCACCTACTCCACTAAACCTAACCCACTACACCACTACCATCTCACCTACTCCACTAAACCTAACCCACTACACCACTACCATCTCACCTACTCCACTAAACCTAACCCACTACACCACTACCATCTCACCTACTCCACTAAACCTAACCCACTACACCACTACCACCTCCACTTCACCTACTCCTTACCTACTACACACTCACCCTCTTCTATATATAGGAATCATGAATCATTGTAATTTATATCAATATACATCATTCAATAATACAATCATTTCTTTTTATACATTAAATTTCTTCATTTCATGTCCTACATTTTTTGAAAATTCACCTGTCGGTGTGTTTATATCGTATCTGTGTCGTGTCACGTGTCCATATCCAGGCTTCTTAGCTGATACCAAATGGGAACTAAGATTGATTCACTTAAGTAGTAATATCAGCAGCCATTCCAATCATCTTATGTGGACAAGTTCCATCTTTCCAACTAGCATCAATTTTCCAATATAAGTCTCCAGAAACAACTTTAAATTAGCTAAAGATTAATGTTCATCTTGCAGGGCAACTTTGATAAGACTTTGATGAAAAACAGTTCACCGATGGTTGAAAAGGATCACAAATTCATGTGCAACTTCAACAGCTCCGACAATTACTGAATTAAATGCAATAAACTGAATTTGAAACGACCAACAGCATACAAAACTTGTAGGTGACCTAGGAAGCCTATATTAATTTTTTAAAACAAGTTCATACAATTCATCATTCATCATGAACTCGTCTGTGTTTGCACATCTACCGCTATTATGGCCCACTCACCCCACCAATATCAACTTCGGGCAATTAGCACGCTCATTTCTCTAGTTTATTATTTGGCAAGTCCAAGAATAATTTGATGCTGCTACCAAGACCATTCAAAATAATATCTTACCATTCCAAGTCATGCTTCAACAAAACAGAACACAGATGACCAATCACTGAATATTAAGGTTCATGGGAGGATGTTGATTATTACTTTGTTCATTGGAAGTTGGTCATGCAGCTTTCTAGGCTTTTCTTCTTCTTCTTTTTTATCTTCTTCTAAACTTTATAGGCTTCAAGGTCTGGTTTTCAGAGGTAGGATTTGGCTATCCTTTGCTTTTGTGCTTTCGTGGGTATATGCTAATGACTATCTTTTTACTTTCAAACAGCATGTGTCAAAAAGCAATGCTTACAAACAAAGGTTCAAGGATGATCTCATGGCTTTTAAACAGAATCAAAATCAAAGCAACACAGCTCTTTCATGCTGAATTAAGAAGCCCCAAACAAAAGATGGTGCACAAGCATACTGAAGTGCATGAAAGCAATTCTTGATCAAGGATAAGTTGGCAAAGAACTGGAACAACAGAAAAAGGTGCTACAGTTATATCTGGCAGGGGTAAGTCTTGGAGCTAGACAGTATAAATGAAAACCTGCCACTGCAGCAATCTTTGAGAGTTGCAGAAAACGCTTTCTTTCTGCTAAAGTTGGCTCCATTTTTGTGCCGTAAGACTCAGTCCCCTCAACAGCTTCCGCAATTGAGTTATCATCTTGAGAAAGAGCCAATGCATGAAGGTTTTCGGAAGCTGAGCAAAACTGATGAAGGAACACTTCATGAAGCCATAGGAGATCCCGGTGCTGCTTTAGAAAAGTAGCTAGCTCTTCCTGGAACTCTTCCCCAAGTCTTAGAAGCTTGGAAAACTGTTTGCTGTCATACAATTGTTTGAACACAAAATAACTAAACCCTCCTTTGGGTCCCATGCTCTCATGCTGCAAAGTAAGTCATTAGAATTGTCAAGGAAAGTGGGCCCATAAAATAAGCCAAGGAAAGGCAGACAAGGATATACATGCATAGATAGTGTCCAAGTGATAAGAGAAAAAGAAAATGTTCAAAGAATAAGGACATCATACTTTATCATCCAGAAACCTTAACTACTAAAAATAAAGAACAAAAGTATAATTTTCTTTCTTACCATAAGGTTTCTAAGGAGTTCTGAATCATTTAGATCACAGCATATATTCCACATAGTTTGATATCCTTCATGCCGTTTTGCAATAGACAACAAATGTAATGAAAGCTTTCTAAGATTTGCTTCACTTTGCTCTTCAGTTCCTTCACTTGAGTCCTGCAAAGACAAGAAGGCTATACTTAATAAGAATACCTTAGAGTTCCCAATCTTCAACAATAAAGCACCCACTCATGAGTTTCCTTTTTGTGAATTGACTCCACCTCAATCTGCTTAGAGTTGATTGCAATTAAAATAGGTTACGTGCAATACTGATTTTCTTTTCTTTTTTCATGGATAAGCAGGTTTCAATAGCTAGATGCGCATAGGAGGTACTCGAAACTTTACCCAACTGCCTGTACAATAGCAGTTAATGGCAATTTATAAAGAGCCAGGAGGAAACATCAGTCTTGCTTGAGCAAAGCATAATAGACAATGCAAAGCTTGCTGACATGCGGATGGCATACTAACAATGAAACATATGTACAGTATTTATGTGATGACAGCTACTGACATGTCATGCAGCAAGTGGCCATTCTGACTAGTGGCACTGGACAAACTCAGCCAGTGGCAATAGCAGGCACCAACTTTGAAATGGTCATGCCTTGAATAGAATATTACAATCCTAGGAGTTTTATTTTATTTTATTTTTTTTGATAAATAAAATTACCATCCTAAGAGATGACTTCAAGCAACACAATAAAAATATACATCCTCCCAGTTAATGGCAGTCAAAGCATAAAGTAACTACTTGTGAAAGAACAGAAGCAGACAAAGTTTGTGCCTACTGCTTTGAGGGGATGAATAGGCCAAGCTCAAAGAAAAACTATGTCAATTTAAAATTCAAAAGCAGCAGCTTATTAAATCAATTTGCTCAATGTACATATATCGATTGACCAATCACTCAAAGGCAAGCCACACAATAACAAATAACAAGAAGACAAAACAATATACGTGGAAAACATTAGTAACAATCCCTAAGGAAAAACCTCAGCCACCTTAACAATCAAGAACAACACTCACAAAATAATGATTTACAACCCAACTGAGATGCATTCAAATCTTGTCATCTTGACCATGAAGTTCAACTTTCACCCACTGGTGGCTCCAACCCCATTGGCCTTCTCTTAATGGCTCGTCCATAGAATGATAAAGCCTTAGCACCTTGCAGCTATAACTGTCATCAACCTACCAACGAACTCCACACATTGACCTCCATTATATGCGGCTCTAATCACAGTCAGCCAATAGCAAGGATGCAGTGCAAGTGAGTGTGTGGGTTTTTTTTTTTTTGACAACTAAAAGGTAAAATTTAGTAAAAGCCAAGCATCAAGACGATGGAAACAAATAGCACCCACCCCTAAACATGTAAAGAATCTATAAAATCACAAAAGAAAATAAATCCATAACCACTCTTCCCAAAGCCCAACTATACAAAACTACCAAGAACCTATTCTTCAAAAGAGGATCTCCACCCCCCGCTCCAACCAAAGCAGCCACATCAAACACAAAGGCACAAGATCACAGGCCTTATGGAGTTCGGAGTTCCTTCTATGGGATTAATATAGCAACAATTTCTTGATAGGCTAGGGATTCCAAAGTGACTAAGGCCTCTAAACAAAGTTTCACTAGGGTTAGAACAAAAAAACCACAACCCTTTATATAATCCCATATAGAAAAGGATTTCACACATTTTCAAAATAACAGTGTGCCCACTTGTGTGCCCTTCGGGTGAGTATTGAGCAGCTCTCTCTGCGTCCGCATATGGACTGCTGCAAAGAGCTGCACGTGGCACCCACACAAGTGACCTTCCAGTGGGGCTCCCAAATTTGTCTAACGGATGGATAAGTGTAGCAGAAAAGAAAATATAGGGTCATTACCAGAGGAAGATGGGGAGAAGAAGATGAGCAAGCATGTAGACTGCCTTTGATACTATAAAAATATAACCCAACCAGTCTAACCTCAGGGGCAGACCCCAACCAAAATGCGGGGTGGGGCCAATAATAGTTTTGAACTTTTTTACGATATAATACTCACAAGACGAAGTATAGGTCAATAAAGATGAATTTTATAAAGTAAAAACTATGCCCTAGACTAATTGCAACATGCTCAATGCAAATATACATGACGAACGCTTGGAGCCACTGTTGCATTGTCTCTGAAAATCTTTAATCTTTAGAACTCATATACTCTACTCTCAACCAAGACACCCTCGCACGTGTTTTTTGTTGACAGAAATTGCTATAACGCTGTCATGTAACAATAACAACTTGACTTGACTACAATACTCATATCATGCCAATGATGCCACAAAAGAAATAAACATACCAATCCATGTAACCGTCACTACATCTTAAAGTGAGTTCTACTTTTGAAAATATATTTCAGTATTTTGGTGCTTGGACCTTTATCTTCACTACCGTTACTAAGCAGTTGCACTACGAGATTTTTTTTTTATATGTTCCTATTATTTACCTCTAAAATACGAAAATAAGTTATAAAATATGCATTCAAACAGCCCCTAGGGTAAACGCCTCATTTTGACTGACCTTAAGACTTTAGGCGCTTGAAAACTTTCCAATGATGAAACGGTAAATACTTTATGCCAAGAGATATTTGAAGTTGTTACGAGCTGCTGTATCACCCCTTTTTAAGCCAAAACCATCTTTTTGCGAAAACGACCATTTTTCCCTTGAACCCATTTTAGCCAAAACCTAACTCTTTGGTCCCACTTAGAAGAAAAGGAGAGGGGAAGGTCCGATTGAGTCTGAATTGATGATATTTTCAAAAGCATTGACCTATTTTTCATCTAAAAAAGTCGATTGAGAATTAATGGTGCTTACTTAGGCAACAAGCATCCCCAGAAGACGAAAGGTTGACTTGGGACCTTGTGGACCAATGGGTTGACCAACACACAGTACATCGGGAGAGTCAATTTGCACATCGTATGGAAAATCCACACGTTGCATGCAAAATCCGCACATGGAAACCCCACACGTTTGCATGGAAATCCGCACCTCATTTGCACATGTCCCTGAGCTAGGCACGTGCGTGGTGTGCCCGCACATGCTTTGTGTAGTTGCACAAGCCTAGTACACCTGCACATGATCCCGACAACCTAGAATTCTATTTCGCTTTAGACTGTTGTTGCGTTTTGGACATGATCCCGAAAGCGATAAAGCAACCCTAGCAACTCCTTGCTTGGCCCCCAAACCTCTCCTTGCCTATAAATAAACCACCACCACCCCCCCTTCTCTCTTGAAGGGGATCAAGAGTTTGAGCTTCTTGAAATGTTTTACAAGAATTAGAAGTGTAAGCCTTGCACCCTTAGTCTCAGTTCTGAAATTCCTAACCCTAAACAGTAGCTCTACAACTAAAAGTAGTCTAGGTTTTGAAGAAAAGTTTATCAAAGCAAAGCCAAAGCTCTAAGGAAGCTTTCAAGCAAGGATTTTTACTTTTTCAATTGTGTTCTTCAGTTTGTTTCAAACCAGTGGGTAAGTCCTCTGATTTTGTTTATTTTAAGTATGATTAAATCATGTTTTTATTATTAGATCATGGTTAGGGTGTTAGCATGCATATGTGAACATGTAGGCTATTAGAGTTGCATATTTTTCGCTTTGTTTTGCATGTTTTAGTTAGATATGTATAAACAGCATGTTTAGGATGGTTAAACCTTTATATTAGCATGCACATAGCCCAGTTTAATCATCATGTAATATTCAGCATGTTAGATTTGTTATGTGTTTGTTGTTTATTTGCTTTGAATCATGTTAGTAACACCTAAACCGGGTTTAGGTTTGCATTGTGTATGTTTAGTAGCATGTTTAGGATCATTGTACATTATTTCATACATATTTTGCATATTTGTTGCTTTGCGGCGGAATTCGGGTTAAGTTTCCTTGTCTTTCATAGCATATTGCTTGTTTGGTGCATTGTTCCTCAATAATGCAAGTTTACGTGTTTTTGGTGCTCAATTGTGTATTTTGAATGATTTTTAATGATGTCGCTTGAGTTGATTTGTATTTATAACCATATGAAATAAAAGTCTTATCTTATGTAAGAAAATCATTGTTTTGTGAAAAATCTTTGGCTTGATGTGGTTGTATTCATTAAATCCAACTTGAATGATGTCTTATTTATTCAATCACCTAGTTGTTAGATTAGTAAAGGATTTAGGTTAACAATTGACTTTATGGAATTATTTGACCATATTATCTCATAAAATAAAGGATTAGTAGAGGCTAATCACTTGAATTAGATGAAAGGGGGTGCATCAATTAATAACCTTCCCTTTTTGTACCTAAGTTCCCAAACCGAGATGTTTGGTTATGACGGATTAGTGCCTATATTATGTTTTCAGAGTCCTAAGGATTTTTAGTTTCCCATAAAAATTAAGTGGGGACTCTTTCGATGTGGGATTTAGGTTTGGTACAACATGTGTGGAAACACGCCTAATACCCAAAAAAGAAGGCATTGCACTTGGTATTTTAGCATGATGAGGAAGAAGAAGAAACAATTACGAAATAATGAATACTCACAAAAATTGAGGGGACAAAAATGATATCAAAGAACCGTAACAGTAAGACAAGTTTTCTAGCACAGTGAAGTATCCAATGTACTTGCATAACTTTCTCAACTCAAGGTTGAATCACATTAAGAATTAAGTTCTAAAAGCATAGTCCCAACTACCACAAACAATCAATGAACCTAAATGACTATTATAGAAGCAAGTTGATTTTATGAGGAAGTGCCAAAGTATCCAGCAAAAAGAAGTCTGAAGTCCACACATGCACTAATGCTGTGTTTGGTTGGGGGATTTGGAAAGAGATTTGGAAAGAGAAATGAAAAAGGCAAGTAAAATGGGAATAAAATATACCGATATTTCACATAGTTTCACACACCTTTTTCCTTTCCTTTTCCAAATTCCTTTCCAAATCCCCCAACTAAACACAGCGTAAAAGAAATTAAAACTATATAATATTTATACACAAGGTCATTTTTTTAATGTAGATGAATACACAGCCAGGATAACAAAAGTAAACACATAAGAGCACAAGATTAACCTGGTATCTGGTTTCAACCAATCTTTTCACCAGCTGGTAAAGAGAGTCAAGAAGAGCATCTCTCCTTTTCCAGTATTCATCCAATAATCCTCTGTATTCATCTTCACGCTCAACTTTTGCCGTAATAGCACCAGAATATGCCTCAAGTAATACTTCAGCCAGTACTTCTAAATTAGAATAAAAATCTGATTTTCTAGACATATCAAGATGAGACATTTCATTCAACAGCTGAAGCATGAAAGAGGCAATGCTCCACAGGCCACTTCTTACCACTGGTTGACTATACCATGGTGTTAAACCCTCAGGAGCGGGATACCACATGTGATACTCATTTTTGTATTGCGATGCTGTGCGAAGTAAAGTCACGCATGCATTTGACAGTTCACAAGCTCTTTGAATCTGAACCACAAGTGGCATCTCTGTGCTGATCAAATAACCTAGTTGTTTTTCTAAGCAATAAAACAATTCTTCAAGATCTGAAACCTTACTGTAGAATACTTCAATGTTGTCCCTATCCATAAGAAGAACAGTATTCCGACGGGCTCGCTCACCAACTAATTGAAGCAGATCCCAAAGGGAACCAGAAATTTCACTTTCTGAACTAGAATAGGGGGAACCAACTCCAGTTGAACGGTTCTGGCTAATCAAGTTTTGCAGTTCCCTGAGCTGAATCATGGCAGCAAGCTTTTCACCATGTTCCATGATAGTATGCAGCGATTGTCCTGACAACAAAAAACAATACCCTAGGCTTAATGGATGCATCAGAAAGCAATGATAACAATTATATAATTTGAGCACAATAGAGAACAAGCAGCTGCTCGCATGATTTACACAAGAATCTTACAAAACAGAAACCATATTCATTACTTGACAATTAAAAAAGTTGGTCATTGACTCATTTCTGTTCCAAAGATGATAACAATTATATAATTTGAGCACAATAGAGAATAAGAAGCTGCTCGCATGATTTACACAAGAATCTAATGAAACAGCAACCATATTCATTACTTGACAATTTAAAAAGTAGGTCATTGACTCATTTCTGTTCCAAAGTTGACATTTTGTTGCTCTTATATTACAACATGGCCTAATAATAACAATACTAAATCTAGATAAAGTCACACTCAGCACACCTACAGAAGTGATCATGTTCAAACACCAATGACTTTGCTTCTGCAATTCCTACATTACTAACCAGCAACAAGAACCATTAGACTAATAAGCATTTCTTAGGCCTAAAGGTTCAATACATATGAAATATATGCTAAAGATAAAAGCTTCATTAAACAAGAGCTTTCAAGGTTAACAAACACCAGTTGTGAAAAAATAATAATATTAATAGCATATATATATAACAAACATGGATGCAACAGGCAATAAAATGGACAAAAGATCGTACTCTGTCTTGAACACAATTCCTCATGGCACTTGGATAAAGCAAGAAACTGGAGAAACTTTTGATGCTTCTGCTGCTTATCCATGAGTTGAGTGGACACAATAGCCAGAGCCACAATCTCGGTACCTCTGGTTGTTGTCCAATGTTTAGCTAGGGTGTCAACAATTGATTTGCTTATCCGAGCAAAAACATTTGTTTCTCCATCCCTTTCGAATGCCCCAGAACTTCGAAGCTTATCAAGTGAGCCATCAATATTCCCAGATAAAAGAAAATCATGGAAAAGATTATTCAATAAAGCTTCTGACTCTTCATCTTGAGCAGTCCGACGTGCAATTCCAGTGAGAACTGCCCTTTGTCTGTCTCCAGCATCCCATGCTTCTGAACTAGCCCTTCTAGGTGCAATATTGCCTGCAAATGTAAAGTTTCTTCTCTCCTCCTGTGCAGATCCTTCATTAGAGCTCCCTTTACGTGACAAGCTTCGCTCAGGTGGTTCAACTCCACCTAGTAAAACAGCCTTCTCAGGAATTGCCCAAACTCCAGCTTTCTCGGTGAGCACAGCCCATGCCCCATCTTCATCATCCTCTGAGGAAGGGAAAACTGAAGCATCTAGAACTTTTCCAGCATCATAAGGTAGATCAAATTGATAGAGTCGGGTGGAATTTCTCCAGTAATGAGAGACTGAAGCAGTTCCATCACCAGAGAGTATAATAGCAGATCCAGAAGGCTTTCCCCCAACCCGCAATCTCAAGGAAAATAAGAAGTCCTCCTCTTCTACTCTTGCTTTGGGGATTATCACTTGGATGGGAGCTTTTTTCTCCAAAACCCTCTCTTGTATTGGCACAAAATTTTCGGGGGAGATATTTACCCCAGACCTATATTGCATGGTCAGAAGTGAGTACTCTATGTAGCTTGAACTGCTTAACCGGTCTTTGCAGAATGTGGCAATGAGAATGGTAATTACTTTGCCATGGTTGTCAACCTGCAGATCCAGAGGCCAGATCCGTTTCTGACCAGCCAAATTCTTCTGGATGCCCAAATCACCATCAGCTCCTATAATTTCATGAGACCAGAGTTTCAACACAGTTGTATCAGGAGAAAGTGTAATAGTGAAACACTGTATCTCATGATCCGTTAGTAAGAAAAACTGCCTACTAGTTTCCTCTGCATAATGACGTGAAGAACGCCAAATCAATGACCTTGGATACCCCTTGCTCCCCACAAGCTGACTACTATCACTGCCTTGAGAAGCTGAACTCAAAAGGTCCGAATAAATCTTTTTCCTGTGAATGCCAGCGGGGCTGCAGAAGAATTGCCAAAGCTCACCATTGGAACCACATGCAAGAGCAACACAGATGTGTCTGCTACCAGGGATCGCGGAAGCAATCAAAGAGTTTAAACAACCTGATCCAGCTGAACTGCTTCCTGGCTTGCTGTGCTGCCGTTTTGGGGTGGTCTTCCCATCAGTAGGTGAATATGTCATCTCTAATTCATCAATAGATGCAAGACTTGTAATTGGAGAACTCCCACCTTCAGAATATATGTCTGGCCAGTATATAAGAGTTCGAGTTCTCTGATTACACATAACAATACCAGCAGAGTTAAACTGTTGAACAACTTTGTCTATGTTCCTACGTGTGCTATGCCAATTGACAATGAAGAGCATCCAACTGTTACCGGTACTAGAATTTTTTCCAATCCCTCCGTCTTCCAAAATGCTAGGAGGAAGATCAAGAACAATACATTTTCTTGAAGCTGCAGGTGACAAGTAACTCCAAACAAAGAGCCTATTCCCACAAACAATCCATGCAAGGGAAGATTCCTTGTCCATTCCACCAGAGATGCACAATTCACCTGCCGGAGGAAATACAATTATCCCACCACATAAGAAAGTAGCCTTTAAAATTACTAAGAATGTTGAGAAAATACTGAAGCTAACTGCACTAACCAGGAATACGCTTCTGCAAGAGATTAGCTTGTTCATCACGAACCATTTGGGGAAACTCTCCAACAAAAACAGGTTGAACTGGATCTGAATCATCCACTTTCTCACTTTTCTTGACTGGTGGAATTCTGAATCAAGTTAACAACAAAAATATAACAATTAGTCACCAAATTAGTGAACATAACTTGACACTGAACCTTTGTCATTTCTCCAGTAATGAGAGCCTGTCGTAGTTTCATCACCAAAGAGTATAATGGCATTAAAATAGCTCATGGACTTTGCTTTGGTATTGATATTGTTGAATTATGATTGATTTTTTGGTTTAGTAATTTCTCTTTCTAGATATGGCGTTAAACTTTGATTTGTAAGTTGAATCTCTAACTATAAATCATTGTAAATAAATAAAAAATCAGCGTACCCCAGCCGTACCCATATCCTATTTTTTTAAGGTTTTGCCGTATCGGTGTACCCATACCAGTATCCATACCCACACCCATGCTTCATAGGTAGCATATCATACCATACTATGGGTATTTGAATAACAAATCAATGGCCTATTCAATACTATTATGATCAAAAGGTTAAAAATAAATCAATTATATTCTTTTTAAGCAAACAATAAAAAATATGAAAAAATGTGCTCTTTAGCTTATTAGAAAAGTGCACTTTTGTGCGCTTCACTTAACAATTAAAATTGCTTTTGTTGTTGTGCTTTACGCTATGTAAGTCGTGCTCCCAAGAATGTCGAACATTGTTGCTATTAAGAGATTCAGCAAAGAAGTTGTCTGTGAGACTGTGACGGTTCAATAAGTGTCACCACAAAGTGTCCACAAAGTATCCGTAATTATTAAATTTTACTTTCAAAGTAGGCACATTGAAGAAGTGCTAGACAAGTTTCTGGGAGTGTCTGAGAAGTGTCTGTCGAATATGCACATGGCTCCTCCTTAGAAGTTTATGTGCTATTATGTTAGGTTTATCTTCTTAAGAATGAGTTTCTTAAAACCTAGATTTAAGAAAGCATACTATTAATTACTTAATCTTCTTTAGTCTTTATTTTTATCTTGAGAAATCACTTATATTAACACAAATAAATCAACATCGTGCCAATAAGTATTACCCATTCAAGGAAGTTTGTCATTTAGAGTTATATGCTCTTTACAACTCGTTGGGCCATAAGTTGTCAAATTAGAATACCAACTATTGCTTCATTGAATTTTTGGAGTGGTACTCCTATCCACTCTTGAAAGCAAGATTAAACCTTCGGAAACATAACCAAACAGCAACTACTTTATCAGAAGTTATTGAAGAAGGCAGAACAAATAATATGAAGAATTTTCAGATACCATGCGATCATCTTTCTGCCAAGTGATGAGCTAATCACGCAAGTAAACCACTTCACACCAAATGAAGGAGTGTATAATATATACTAATCAAAAAAAAAATGTGCACGTGTCTGCAAGTGTACAAAACAAAAAATGGTTTATACAAACAAAATTCTGGGCATCATCACGCAACCGGATAATTCAAACATTTCCTTCCCAAACACAAACCATCCAAAACAAAGCCATGAGTACAAGTCCATATTCACTAAATTTCCAAAGCTCTCTGACATAAAATACGGAGACTCTTGGTTTCCTTCAATTGTCAATGAACAAAAATAAAATACAACAAAACTATGGATCCAGAGCCAACAACATAAACCAAATCTGGCCATACATATCAGATGTGTAAAAATTGATGTATAATTGATTGTTGTATGTTGTTATGTTTACAATTCCTATATATAGAAGAGAAGAATACGTAGTAGGTGGAGTAGGTGAAGTGGAGTAGGTGAAGTGGGTGGAGTAGGTGTAGTGGAGTAGGTGAAGTGGGTGAAGTAGGTGATAGGTTTTAACAGCCCCCGCAAACTCAAGGGGGATAGGAACTAACCAATTTGAGTTTGGAGAGAGTAACAAAACAAGAAAATACATAAAAATAAAAGAGGATAAGAGACACTATATGGTCTTGTCAGACCGAAGACACTGGATGGTTGTGTCATAACGTTGTAGAGGACACTGGATGGTTGTGTCATAACGTTGTAGAGGACACTGGATGGTTGTGTCATAACGTTGTAGAGGACACTGGACAGTTGACGAGGTCACACCGGACCGAGGGAGATGCTAACTGGAATCAATGTCGGGACAGTTTATGGGGTCATGTCGGACCGTTGTAAAAGTCGCACCCTCAAAAGGTGTGCCCAATCTGTCAAAAGGCGTGCCATCAAAAGGCGTGCCCAATCCATAAAAAGGTGTGCCGGACATTATGGCGAGGCGCGTGACTACCTTGGCTTGCGCGCCCGTTTTGTCGTCTGTCGGCAAGCGGCGCGCGATGCGCGGATCGGCCCTGGCTATTTAAACCAAGGGTGAGGCGGAGGCTGTGCAAACCAGTCTGAAACCTCTGAACTCTCGGAGAGCTTGTCTCTAAGAGCTGCAAATCTTGAAACACTCTGTAACCAACCCTGTCTGACAGTACCAATCGGTAATCGCTGCTTCTCTGAACACTTAGCAACCCAAAAACATGGCCTCTTCTTCCCGTGGTCTGCTCACTCTCTTTCCCGACCTCAACGAGTCAACAAGAGAGATAGCTGGTGCGGTGGCTCGTGACCTCAACCAAACACCTCTGGCTTTGCTCCGTTGAACTTTCCGATGCGTCGGTGGAGCAAAAAAATGGCAGTGCAACGGATATTGAGGCCAATCAGTATACATTGAAGTCATGTGTGGAGACCATGAGCGGCGGTCACAAACTTGTCGCACCGGCTTCAGAGTAGGACAAATGAGGTGCAACAGTTAAACGCCCAACTGGCTCTGCTCCAACGCATGTATAAGAATGCGCGAGCAGAAGATAAGTGTGCTAAAGGCGAAAATAGGAGCTGAAGCGGAAGGCCACCGTTTATGTTCCGATTTGGAGGTCCGCCTATGCTGCAGTGGAGGAGCAGGGAGTAGTGATCGTGCCCAGTGGAGTGGGAAAGCACGGAGGCAACACCGTCAAGGGCCGCCCAGGACGGAGGCAAGAAGAGAGACCAGCGGCAGAGTAGAGAAGGGATGTCGGTGTGTGGCCGTCTGCAGAAAAGAAAACAAAGCCGTTGTTGTCGTGGGGTGTTGGATTTGCGTGTTTTTTTTTTTTTTTGCTGTAAAATTCTGATCGGGGTTGATCCCCGGCATGAAGAAACAACAAGTTTGTGGAATGATGTTTGTTTTTTTTTTTTTTTTTTTTTTGTGAAAAGTAAGGGAATCGAATAAAAAAAAAAATATGGAGATGGTGATGAAATGATAAGCATGGTGATGATGAATATATAATAATGAATAAAAATAATAAAGGATGGAGTGGGGAACAGGGCGAATCGAGAGCACCAATTAAGTTTTATAATAAAAAATAAAATTTGGGCGGTGGATGGGTGTGATTAAAAAAGAAAAGTGAATTGGGTGTGCCCCTTTCTCTCTCTCTTACGAAAAAATGGTGAAGGAAACAAAATGTATAAACTAATGAAAAGAAAGCAAAATATATATGTGTGTGGGGTTTTGGATTCTGAGTATGTGCATAATAATAATAATAATATGAATGAGGAGAGAGAGGGTTTTATGTTTAAAGAAAAGAAGAGTGGGTAGATAATAGTAAAATAAAAAGAAACGAAAAGAGGGGACAAAACCCATGTGATAAAGTGGAGAGAGAGAGAAGAGGGTCAAGTCCCTCCTGTGTCTTTATTTATTTTTGTATATCCATCTTTGCAGATCACCACTTGTTCATCCTCTCACCCCCTCGCCTCTGATTTTATTTTATTCCCTTCCTCTTCTAGCCGAGAGAGAGAGGGCCCTTTTGGATGCATGGTGTGTCTTTTCTTTATTCATTTTCCCACCGAGAGAGAGAATGTGAGAGTAGAGAGCAAACACTGAATAAACACAGTGTGCAGAGTATCCAAATGAGGAATTAGGGTTTCCCTTATGTACTGCGCCAATTGCGCGAAAATCAACAGCGCCGATTCGCGAAGCTTCGGATTGTCCGACGTGACGCACTGGAACATAAACGGCAAGAGCGCCGGCCAGCCACCGTCAGGCAAGATCGAAGAAGCGAGCTCTGAAATGGTATCGCAAAGCTTCTTGGAGATGGTCTTGGCGGTTTCGTGGCCGACGCAATCCAAGAGAGTGGATTTGAGGGTGGACTGAGTGGCCGGAGAGAGATTGGGGTATATGTAAGAGTCGTCGCGAGTGAGCTGCTTGCGGAGGAGGATGGCGGACATGGCGCGAGCTTGAGAGAGAGGGAATCGGGGTGTGTTTGCTTGCAGAGATTGAAGAGAGACTCGGCGCTGGTCGTTGGCGGTGGACATGGAATTTGTTAGCAGCAGCAACAAGAAGATCAAATAATTTGTAGCAGCGGAGTGAATGTATGTGTAGAGGTCCGGCGGGCGGCCAAGGCAAGGCTGCCGCCCGCCGGTGAAGCGGAATTACTAGGTTCTCAACCTTGCTCTGATACCAAATTAAAATTGATGTATAATTGATTGTTGTATGTTGTTATGTTTACAATTCCTATATATAAAAGAGAAGAATAGGTAGTAGGTGGAGTAGGTGAAGTGGAGTAGGTGAAGTGGGTGGAGTAGGTATAGTGGAATAGGTGAAGTGGGTGAAGTAGGTGATAGGTTTTAACAAGATGGCAAGGTGAAGGCCCATTATAAAAATACAATTTCACCCATATTGCTCCTCCTATATTTAATATAGTTGGTTTTGTGGTCGGTTCTGTGTGTCCGTAGAGCTACTGATAAAAATCAGTCAACAAAACTCAAAGCAGAACACTTAAATTAAACCAATTCACCGATTCCATAATAGCAATTCATTTCATTACTCAGCTACCTAACTTCAACTCGAAACCCTAAAAATCAAATCAACAACACCAAACACACAACAAAATGCATTACCACAAAATTCCAATTCCCGGCGCAATCTTATTAATCTCATAGCGGAACACTTAAATTAAACCAATTCACCAATTCCATAATCGCAATTCATTTCATTACTCACATAACTTCAAATTGAAACCCTTACACTGTATTTGGTTGGAGTTTTGAGAAGGAATTTGAAAAGGGATAAAGAAAAGGTGTGTGAAACTAACACTGTTTGGTTGAGTGATTTGAGAAGGGATTCAGAAAGAAAAAAGAAAAAAATAAGTGAAATGTGAATAAAATATACTCTCTTACATTTTCCCATTCCCTTTCCAAATCCCTCTATTTTATTCACATTTCACCAACTTTTCCTTTCCCTTTCCAAATTACTCCTCAAATCTCCAACCAAGCACAAATCTCCAACCAAACACAGCATAACCAAACACAGTGTAAGGTTGTGTGTAGATCAGGGACAAGGAAAATGTATGAAAAATATGAAATATAACTACATTTCCAAATCCATGATCCAAACACACAGCCTAAAAATCAAATCAACAACACAGAACACACAACAAAATGCGTTACCGCGAATTCCAATTCCCATCGCAATCTTATTAATCTCATGCCTATCTAACAAAACCAAACCAACAACTTCAACAATTAAAAAGCATTTGTGATGAAATGTACATTATTATAGTTTGTTTGAGCATATGTGAGTGGTGGTGGTAGTACCTGGCGAGAACAGATAAGCGAGGAGCCCATGGAGCAGGAGTGCCGGTGGAGGGCCGGTTAGGGATTGAATTGTCGTGAAGAGATATGCGATTCTCTGCAAGAGGAGTGATCGGTGAATCAGGAGGAGGGTGACCTAGACGACTAGGACGGTCTTTGCGACCGCTGATATTGGATTTCTTTGTCCCCGGAGAGAACATTGCTGCGCCAGTTGAGTGTCAAAAGTTGGAGAGAGAGAGAGAGATAGAGAGAGAGAGAGAGAGAGGGAGGGAGGGGGGGGTTAGGGTTTAAGAGGTACAGTGTATCGTGAAAATGAAGGTCAGGGTTTTTAGAATGAGAGAGGGGGAGAATTTGAATTTGGAATCGACGTTCACGATCGCTAACAACTGAGGAAGAGTGAGAGAGAGAGAGAGAGATGAGAGAATGAGGAGTGGAAAAGTTCAGGAATTGGGGAGTTGGCGGCAGTTCATTGGTTTGACTCAAGGAAAGTCAGTGGAGTGGACTAAGTGGAGAGAGCATGGTTTCGTTTGGATAGATTTTTTTAGTTTGATTTTTTATTTTTTTTAATTATGTTAGTTTAGTTTAAAAAAATAAAAATAAAAAATTGTTTCAAAATAAATTCTTAATTTTTTTTAGTTGATTAAATGATTGTAAGAAAAAAATAAAATAATTATAATTTAAACGTGATATTTTATCTTATTAACTAAATTAATTTTTTTTTTTTTTTTTTTTTTTTTTTTGTGGAGAGAGGTTTTGACCTTTGATTTTTCTGAAATAGGTGTTCTAGACGGGCTAAGTTAACCACTTTAACTTGTGGCAAACGACTACTGATGTGTCTCAATTTTTTTTGATGGGTCAAAGATAGTGTTAATATATTAATATAATTAGAATACAACTTAAAAATCTACCATTACTCCAATAGTTCAAACTGCTGATCTCTCGCACTTATTATATTTAAAGATGTAACAACTAAACCATTGGACACACCCAAGGCGAATATATCCTGAAGGGAAATTTAGTCTAAAGCTCCTCTTCCATTTTCAGTAATGGAAGAGGTCCACAATGTTATTTTATAATGTGTAAAGTCCCTTACTCCCGCTCTCTCTCTTCTCTCTTATTTCTTCTCGTTCTCGACCTCTACACATTGCCTCTCTCTAAAACTCTCTCCCTCCTCTCTTCCATATCCAGACCTTCTCCTCGCTTCTCTCTTTTCAACCACTCCCATTTTGGAAGAACCGGTACACCCTTTGAGGTGGAAGACCCTTTGAAATCTCTCGATTCCATTCCATTCCCTCCTGCTATAACTATGTATTATTATCAATAACAGCAACAACAAAATGGTATGAGGCAGCAAGTTATTAGGTGTGGCGGCGGCATTAATGTTAGTGTTAATGGTGTGGAGCTGATCGGCAATGGTCGGAATGCCGCGATCTGAGCCACGAACCATCACGATCTCAGTCTGACCACTGCGATCTAAGCTGAAATCAGCGCTGACAGTCGAGTTGCCTTGATGTCGTGGCTGTCTTCATCGTCACCGTCGCCGCTGTTGTTGTCGTCGCCGAGCACGGCCGCTTGATGGTGGTGAGGTGGAAGTCTCAGCCATCTTCATCATCTTCTCTTCTTCAACCTCCTCTTTGTAGAAACCAATCGGTCAAGGCTTCTCTGCTAAGTACATGTGTGATATATATATATATATAGAGAGAGATTGGGGTTGAAGTTCACATAGAAATGGTTGGACTGTGTTACAGAGATAGTTATTATAATATTTTGTGCATTTGGGAAAATATCATATTAATTTCTAGAGTTGGCAATTTCTGGAGATAACCCACATGAGTATATGAGGTAAGACACCATAAAACACTGTTGCTTTTTGATTTCACACTTCGTTGTTGGTCTTGTTGATCTTCGCTTTGATGAGAAGAAATTGATGGGTATTGTTATATGTAGTTTTTGAAGAAAACCCAGATGGGCACTCCCAGAGAAATTTGTTTGTTTGTTTTGTTTTCGTGGTACACTCAGTGAAATTGATCAAATTTCTTTGATTTGATTTGGATTGAATTTTCTCTGGTTTAGACTTGAAATTTTCTAATTTAGATTGAATTTTCTATGATTTTGATTGAATTTCTCTGGTTTGGACCAGAGAAATTCTCATAATTGGATTGAATTTTCTCTGATTTGAACCTGAGAAATTCTCTGATTTCGATTGAATTTTCTATGATTTTGATTGAATTTCTCTGGTTCAATCTCTGAGTTTGATTGAATTTTCTCTGGATTGAATTTTCTTTGGTTTTTTTTTTTATGTTAATTCATAGATCCAAAGAAATTTGAATGTGCAAAGTCTTGAACCCAGAGAAAATCTTTGGAAGCCCAGAATTTCTCTGAATAGAATTTCTCTGGGCTGAAATTTCTCTGAACTGGAATTTCTCTGGACTGAAATTTCTCTGGGCTGGAATTTCTCTGGACTAAAATTTTTCTGGATCAATATTGAGGGACCTTAGACATTATGAAAATATTAAATGTCCTTTATACTATAAAATTTTAATATCAAGGACCCTAAAAAAAAAACCCTATCCTGAATTCTAGAGCATTTTAATTTCAAATATCAAAATCAAACAAAAAGTAAATGATAAATTACAATCACTTTCCTTAAGGCTTCTATAATTACAATGGCATCCTCTCTTTTTTCCAAAATTACACTAACCTTCTATGAGGTTTATTTTTATTTTGCAGATTCTCTCTTTTTGTTAGTTAACATTTCTTTTTTCTTTCTTTTTTTTATAAAAGTCAATGATTAGTTGTTAAATTATCACATAAAGGAATTTTAGTTTGGAATGTATAACATTTGAAGTGATTATCTATAAATTAAAAGTAAAAGAAATCAATTAATCATTTTTTAATTAAACAAATTAGTATGAATTATTGGAACCAAATGAGGAATATAAGAACTTGTATGTATGTCATGCAATAAATTATATATATTTATAGTCAAACCATGTGAGTATTTAGAAATATTATTTAATATGGTATCCCAATTTGATTTTTATTAATTTAGATAATGAAACGCTCATCAATTTTATCTTATTTTTTTGAAGACAACCGAACTACATGATGCCAAGTATTGATTAAAAACTACCAAATAACTTCTCTTATATTTATGTAATTAAATTTTTAATTTGTTTTATCATCACTTTTGTCATAACAATAAATTATTCTAAAATACACATTGTTTTACGTATACCATATACAAGTTATAACATTTGTGATATTGATTACCACAACTATCATAACTAAATTTTTTTCAATCGTAACTAAAAAAAATGAATCATAACCAAATAACACATAAGATATAATCGAAATAATAATCGCACATTTAATGGTTACCGACAAAAATATATCTAATGTTAAAATTATTAAACTAACCCTTTCATTAATATCATTAGTCACAAGGGAGGTCAATAATATTAGAAAAATGAGAAAAAGCCAGTATAATTGTCAGGAACCTCAAGGGAATTGACTATAATTTACCCAAAAAGGAAACCTCAATATATGTTTCTTTTAATTTAATTAAAGAAATTAAAATAATTTTATTCTTATTTCACAAAATATGTGAAAATATATTATTACTAAATATATTTTTTAAATAAAAAAGGCATAAAAATTGACATGTTTTCACACACACAAAAAAATGTACTTTTAGTTTTATTGAAGAGTTGAACTACTCTTGATGGATCCATGATTATGACTTTGGGAAGACAACTCTACAGTTTAAAAAATTAGGAACTAATACGAAATTGGGAGAAAAAACTGACGGAAAAATTGAAGTACTTTATTCACTGTAATCAGCTACTTAAATAGTAGAGTACATGAACTAACACAGCAACAAATAAGAAACTAACTGACTGTGGAAAAACAAATTTAGGAACTGACTAACCACAGTTGTAACAGACTCCTATGGACTTGGTAAACTAACAGACTCCTAAAAACTTGGACAAGCAAAGACTTAATCAAATTAAACTTTTAACACCCTCCCTTAAACTAAGTGCTCTTTTGACATTCAGTTTATTTAGAGAACTTCACCAGCTTATTTAGTTGCTTCCCTCAAATTGTATTCTCCATTGAACAAACACCAAGCAATCTCTGCAGCTTCACGAAAATGGCCAATTTGAGGGGTTTGGTTAGAATATCAGCAACATGATCTTCACTTCTGCAGTAGATCAGATCAATGGTTTCATCCTTTGTGAGATCCCGTAAGAAATGATATCGTACATCAATATGTTTGCTTCTCCCATGTAGAACAGGATTTTTTGACAGTTTGATTTCTGAACTACTATCACAATACACTGGAGTGGGACCTTGTTGATGATAATGTAATTCTTCAAGTAGTCTCCTCAACCAAATTGCTTGACAAGCACACGACGCAGCAGCAACAAACTCTGCTTCGGTAATGGACAAAGTAACAATTTGTTGTTTCTTTGATGACCAAGAAACAACACATGAGCCCATCATAAAGACATAACCTGAGGTGCTTCTTCTATCATCTGGATCACCTGCATAGTCACTATCAGTGAAGCCAAGTAACCCAAAATTTCCTTCCTTTCTATAAAGAATACCAAAATTAATCGTCCCAACCAAGTATCTAAAAATTCTTTTGGCAGCAAGAAGATGCAACTGCGTAGGATTTTCCATGTATCTGCTGATAAGGCTTACTGCGTGCATAATGTCTGGCCTGGTTGTAGTCAAATACATAAGACTTCCGACGATTTGCTTGTAAAGAGTGTTGTCTACTTTCCTTCCTTCATGGTCTTTGATTAGCTTAAAACCATGTTCAACTGGTGTAGTAACTGAATTACAATTCGCCATTTGAAACTTGTCTAGCATTTCTCGAACATATTTCTTCTGTGAAATAAAGATTCCAGCAGAAGTTTGTGCTACTTCAATGCCAAGAAAGTAGTGCATCAGTCCAAGATCAAACATTTCAAACTCAATCATCATTGATTGCTTGAAATCATCAAACATAGCACTATTGTTTCCAGTGTAGATTATATCATCCACATATAAACACACAATTAAAATCTCACCAGTAGATTTAGATTTGATAAACAAAGTATGCTCATATGGACATTGTTAAAAGCCTGATTTGGAAAAATATGTAGCTATGCGACTATACCAAGCTCGAGGAGTTTGTTTTAGCCCATACAGGGCTTTTTTTAGCTTGTATACCTTTTTTACATTCCCTTGTTGCACATACCCCAGAGGCTGATCAACATATACTTGCTCTTGCAAATCACCGTGTAGGAACGCAGATTTTACATCCATCTGAAAGATTGGCCATGAGTTTTTTGCTACCAATGCAAGTACCAATCGAATGGTATCATGCCTCGCAACTGGAGCAAAAACCTCTTTGTAGTCGATGCCAAATTCTTGCTTATAACCTTTTACCACTAGGCGAGCTTTGTACTTGTCAACTTCTCATTCTTAATTCAGCTTTGTTTTGTAGACCTACTTCACACGAATTGACTTTTGTCCTTTAGGAAGATCTGTCAATTCCCAAGTGTGGTTTTTCTCAATAGCTGCAATTTCTTCATCCATGGCTTTCTGCCATTTTTGATCTTTAACAGCATCTTGGAAAGTAACAGGATCACAATCTGAGAATAGAGCAAAATGTACAAGTGGGTCATCAGATTGATCAACACCACTTACCTCATAATCTTGCATCCATGCTGGTCTCTTTTTGGTACGTTCAAGCCGGATTGTGGTTGAAGTTTCAGAGTGATCTTCTTCAAGTGTTGTTGTTGGTTGACTTGAAGAGCTAGAATGCAGTGGTTGTTGTTCACCAACCGTAGACTACGGATGTCTTTCTTCTTCTTCATCATCATCAAAGCTTATAGGAATGCTCTGGCTTGAACTATTGACAACATTTGTCAATGTTTTCTCTTCATCAAAGATCACATCTCGACTGATGACGATTTTCTTGGTGATGGGATTATATAATTTATAAGCCTTTGAGTGCTCACTAACCCCTAGAAAAATACATTTTTCTCCTTTATCATCAAGTTTCTTTCTCTTCTCATCTGGAACGTGTGCATATGCAATGCACCTAAAAATCCGTAAGTGGTCGACACTCGATTTTCTACCACTCCAAGCTTCTTCAGGAGTCCGATTACGAACTGCCATGGTTGGACTTCTGTTTAGGAGGTGTATACTCCACAAGACTGCCTCAGGCCAGAAACTCTTCGAAAGAGGACTTCTATTCAGCATACTCCGCACCATATTTAAGATTGTACGATTTTTCCTCTCCGCAACACCGTTTTGTTGTGGTGTGTAGGATATTGTAAGTTGTCTTTTGATTCCATGCATCTCACAGAAATTTGCAAATTCTCGTGAGTTGTATTCCCCACCACGATCAATTCGAAGAGTTTTGATAGATTTCCCAACATCTTTCTCAACAAGAGCTTTGTAATTTTTGAATGCCAAGAAAGCTTCAGATTTTTCCTGCAAGAAATAGACCCATGTTTTCCTACTAAAGTCGTCAATAAAGGTAATAAAGTACCTTTTGTTACCATTGGATGGTGGATTAATAGGCCCACAAATATCAGAATGAACCAATTTCAGCACCATCTTGGCTCTCCATGCTTGTCCTTTTGGGAAATGTTCACGATGCTGTTTGCCAATGACACACTCTTCACAAACTTGCTAAGGATGATCAATCTGTGGAAGACCAATCACCATATTCTTTTGATGGAGCAACTTTAAACCAAAGAAGTTCAGATGCCCATAGCGAAAATGCCATAGCTAAGCTAAATCTTTCACCATAGCAGAAAAACAAGGAATGATATCATTCTGGATGTATGGAGGAAACATCCGATTTGCTGTCATATTCACTTGAGTGATCAGACCCATCTTTGGATCATGAATTCTGCAGGTTCCTTCTTTAATGATGATCTCATATCCCTTTTCTTGAAGTTGACCTACACTCAACAGATTAGTTTTCAAACTTGGTACATAAAACACATTTGAAATAGTCTGTTTAGCACTTTTGGAAGTCTGAATTTGAATGGTGCCCTTTCCCATAACAGAGATAGTAGAATCATCTCCAAATTTGACAGTGGAATGGAAGGACTCATCTAATTCAGAGAATATAGACTTGTTTCCACACATATGATTACTAGATCCCGTGTCCAAGTACCACATTGTTTTATGGGTATCTTCAGTTATGTTGCAAGCCATAAGAAAAGAAACCTCTTCTTTCTTCGCAGAATTTGATTTTGCTCCCATTTCTTGATACAATTTAGTCCTACATTCAGAACGATAATGACCATACCTTTGACATCTGTAGCATTTGACTTTGGATTTGTCAAATGGTTTTGATTCTTGGTTTCCACTTTGATGATTATCTCGTCCTTTACCTCTACCTTTGGGGTCATGAACTTGATTGCCATGTGTGGAGTGATCATTGTTACTGCTGCTGCTTCTTCCCCTTCCTTGACCGTATCCCTTCTTTTGGAAAGATTGGTTGTTGGATGAGTATTGTAGCTGTAATGCTTGCTCCACTGCTACATGCTGATTAATCCGTTGCTCGTGGACTCTCAGCGAACTCATCAATTCTTCAATGGAAAGGGCATCAAGATCCTTTGATTCCTCAATCGAGCAGACCACGTGTTCAAACTTCAAGGTCATCGATCGAAGAATCTTCTCGATTATGGTAATGTCTTCCATCTTGTCTCCGCTGGTTCTCATCTTGTTTGCGATGGACATGGTTCTGGAGAAGTATTCCTCAATTGAATCTGTCGGTTGCATGCGAAGAGTCTCAAATTCCACACGAAGTGCTCGAAGGTGTGCTCGTTTCACCTTTGCAGTACCTTGATACTTCTGTTTCATTGTGTCCCATATTTGTTTTGAAGTATCTTTGGTGAGAATCGTCTCCAAGATTGTTCGATCAATTGCTTGGAACAAGTAATTCTTTACCTTCAGGTCCTTCAATCTCTGTTCCTCCAGCTTTGTTTTCTGAGTATCCGTCAAGGCGCTAGACTCTGTTTCTGGAAAACCAGTTTCAACGAGATGCCAATATTCTTTGGATCTCAAGAAATTTTCCATCAGCATGCTCCAATGGTCATAGTGACCATCAAATCTAGGTATAGCAGGTTACACAAAAGTCTCTGATGCCATTAAGAGAGATTGACTGCTATTGCTCAGAAATAAAATAAAAAAAAACACACCAGAGAGTAGACAAGAGCTTCAGCTCTGAGTACACTGTCTACTTTCCAATTCAGAGTATTTGGCTCTGATACCACTGATACGAAATTGGGAGAAAAACTTATGGAAAAATTGAAGTACTTTATTCACTGTAATCAGCTACTTAAATAGTAGAGTACATGAACTAACACAACAACAAATAAGGAACTAACTGACTGTGGAAAAACAAATTTAGGAACTGACTAACCACAGTTGTAACAGACTCCTATGGACTTGGTAAACTAATAGACTCCTAAAAATTTGGACAAGCAAAGACTTAATCAAATTAAACTTTTAACAAGAACTACTCTATATAATTTTAAAATTATTTACAAAAAAATTAGAGATGCAAACTCTTATAATTTTAGATTATTTTAAAATTTTTAGTATAATATATGATATTTTTTAAACTTTTAAAAATGCGGCCGCCCATCTCTCCCTCTCTCTTCCCTTCTCCCTAGATCCATCATTGCCTTTGCATGGTCTTCCATACTGGAGATGGGTGACTCGCCCTTGATTGGGGTTGTTTTGAAAATTAAATTTTTAGTGATTTATTATTATTATTATTTTTTTATCAAAAACATTGATTTATCAGTTCGGCTGATTTTTTTTAAATATTCCTAATTGGAGGATAGATTTGAGCTGAAGTTAGGTTGAATAACTCCACAGCCCAACTAAGAACGCTCGAGTTGAATTCTTATCTCAGGTTTCGTTCAACTAAGAATGCTCGAGTTGAATTCTTATCTTAGGCCTCGTTTGAAAAGTTAACTATTTTAATAAATTATTTTAGTTTTATATTATTTTAGTAGGTTAAAATATTTATATTTATAAAGATGGTTAAATTTTTTTGTAGTTGAATGTGATATTTGTGAGAAAAAAAATAAAATGATTATGAGTTTGGTATGACATTTTATCTTATTGACTAATTTAATCTATTTTATCTGAATTTTAACCAAAAAATAAATAAAACAAAGTTTTGACTTCCCAAACACACCCCCATTAAATCCAATGTATTTGTCTGCCCAAACTTTCTTCACTAGAAACTCTTTGTAATACTTATTGATTCCTAATATAAGATGATGTTTTGAAAAATTGGTAAAAAGTTAATTTTTTGACTTTTTGTGACTTTTTAACTTTTTTGTACTAAAAAAGTTAGTTTTTTTGTGACTTTTTAGTGAATCTTTTAGCTAAAAAAAGTTAAAAAACTAAAAAATTACTTTTTACGGTGTACCCAAAAACCTCAAAGTCAATTGGAAATAGTATAGAACAAGTTCATAGGCCTATTCAGGCCCTTTCTATCCAGTTTCAAGCAAAGGGATACTACAATCACACAAAGTAGGAATACCTTCCACCATATTATGTGGCGTTTTGAGAAGATGATAAAAAATTAATTTTTTTACTTTTTGATTTTTTGTCTAAAAAAATAAAGAGGTTATGTGAACTAAAAAAATTAAAAAGTTAAAAAATGATAAAAAGCCAATCTTCCCAAATTGTCCCTATATTTTCTGTACACACTCGGCTATTTTGAAAAGTAAGTTAGCCCCAGTTTGGCATTTGTCGTGGGCTAAATAATCACATATAGACAAAAAAAAAAAAAAAAATCTTAAAATGCCAAAACACTTGAGTTGAGATGCAAAATTACCAAACTGACTCATATACAAATAAAAAGTCAAAAAAACATCATTTTCAAGTGGAGGGTAATTTTGTCATTTCACTTTGGGAACATCATTTCCAATGCAAAAAAACTAAAAAAGCCAAACAAGAAAACCAAATAAATAAAAAAGTCTCAGGCTAAAAAAGTCAAAAAAGACAAAAAATTAACTAAAAAAGTCATTGTCAAACGAACCCTTAAAAGTTTATTTTTAAATTTTTATTTTTCTTTTTTAAAAAAAAAAATCAAAAAAATAGAGAAATAATGTGACTAAAAAAAATCACAAAAGTCAAAATTTAACCATGTTGCCAAAATAGGCTACTATTTTGTGGGTCTATTATGAGGCCTTAATGATGATTACAACCCAATAAAATAAATAAATAAATAAATAACTCTTTACAATCAATTACTATAATATATAAGAGTTTGAAGACTAAATTTTTTATCTCAAAAAGTATAATTTTATTGCACAAAATATTTTAAGACTAATTCATTTCGTCGCAAGAGTCTCCAAATGACAAAAATAGGCTATTAGTGATTTTTTTTTTTAAATGTCACTAATAAGTGTATTTTTATGGACAAAACAAATTGATGTAAAAATCTACTTTTTGACATAGAAATCTTGGTTTCAAGAGAATAACAATTCATCACTGTCAACCTTCGTCACTAAAAATACCATAAAGATACTTTTAACAATTAAAATATTTCATTCTTAAAAAATAATTATTTTTATCGTATCTAAAAATTTTAATTTATTATAGTGAGTTTAAGAAATATTTGAAATTATTCCATGTATGTTTCTATTTGTATTTTCTATCTGTTAATAAATATTAATTATTGGTGTTCGCAATTCGGTTGCGGCCGGAAAACCTCTAATCCGTCATCTGTCATCCGTCTGCTGAATTAACGAATTAAAAAAAATCAATCTGCATCCATCTACCGGATTGACGGATGCGAATTGACGAATGGATGCGAATTGATTTAGCGGTTTAAACTTTTACAAATTTTGAACATAATACAACAACTTATCAACATTGTTTTTTTGGATAACAATCCAATCCAACATAACCGAAAAATTATCAAGTAAATTGTCAAATACTAATAATAAATACATATAAGAAAATCATGCATTGTCAAAATTATTTCATTACTTTTTTTATATTCAAAAACTATTTAATTTGATTTTTTAAAAAATAAAAAAATTAAGCCTTATATTTTCCACACAAAAATACCAAATATTAACATTTGTCATTTGATAAAAGGATTTCCAAATTGAAAATACAACAGAATATTTAAACTATTTTTCAATTGAAAACACAAACAAAATACACAAAATCTTATAGATTACTAGGAGTGCTTGCGGTTTGACGGTTCGGTTGCGGCCAAAAAAATTTCAAATCCGTCATCCGTCCAAAACTAGGCAGATTGAAAACAATCATTCTGCAACCGTCCGCTCGTCATCACACATCGGTCAAAAATGTGGCAAATCGATTCGGTTAGATCGATTTTGAAGGATCGAAATATCCACTACTCATCCCTAAGTGACAATGATAAGGGTAGAAAATAGCTGCCAGCAATGAGGAAGAAAAAAAGTGCTTAAATTGTCTAAATTTGCCTTGCTCCATTAGTAATATAATTAAGAATTTGAATTGAAATATAATTTTTTTTAAAAAGGATTAATTTGTTGCTAATGTCAAACTTGTTTTTTTTTATAATAATTTTTCCTTAATTTTTTGAACCTATTTAAATAAATATTTTTTAAGCCTGTGTTTGGCAAGTGGGTTTGCAGGTTTTTTTGGCTATTTTAGCTACAAAAAACAAAATAGGCTATTTTAGCCATAACAAACAAAACATCACATCCAACCCATAATCATTACATTCTTCTCTCACAAAAAAACTCAAAAAAGCCAAAAAGTCAAAAAGCCCTTCCCAAACCAAGCTTTTAAGCCCAGACTAAAATAGCCAAAAAAGCTAAAAAGTCAAAAAACCAACCCACTTTCCAAACGAAGGCTAAATCATAAACTATATGAATTGCCAACTCTCAATTTAAAAAAATAAAATAATAATAAAATAATAAAAATAAAAGCTACACCAAATAGACACACCTATTTGGTAGCATCATTATTGGGCCCAAAAAATTGAAAAGCAAAACAACAGTTAAATAGGTTGTTTTAGTAATTTTTTAATTTTTGATTAAAATATGAGATAAAAAAAATTAGTATATTTAAAATGAATTTTTAAATTTTTACAAAAATATGTGCAAAAAGTAGAGACAAAATAAAATTTTTAATTTTTTTGTACAAATTATAAGCTTTTCAATTTTTTTGATAATTTTTTAATTTTTAAACTAAAATTATTACCTGCCAAATGAGACGTTATAGTTTATGAAACCATCCTTGGTGAAGAGGGAATAAGTTTCCCTTCAATTATTAAAGTTTAGTGGACCATTCAATACGATGTTTTCACTTCCTTAATTTAATCACAAAAGAGTTTGTAATCCTCTCCTATCTAAATAAAATAAAATAAAATTATTGTTTTAATCCCCTCATTTTATAGATCTTAATTTTACAATGAAATTGATCTATTATGAGACTTATTTGAATCTAATTCGGTAATCTAAATTATTCATTTTATACAACTAATGAAAAAAATTAATCATGTAAAAAATTAAATTGATCCAGCATCAATTATACTATCAAATTATTTTTATTTACGACATTCATATTTTTAATAATAAATCGTCCATTTTATATGCATGTTCTTCTTAATTTGTTATATACTGAGATTGATACAGATTTAAGATTTTCAATTTTAGAAAATCTGAACTTCGATTTTATGCACCACCAAACAAGGCCGAAGGCAGCATGAAACAGGATGGTTTAAAAAGATGACAATGAAGAAAGCATATGACAATAGTTTGTTTTTGACTTTTTGCTATTTATTGAAAACAAATATTTGTTGATTGTCGTAATCTCGCTGTTGTAATGTCTCGTAACCAAACATATAAGCAAGTGTTTTTTAGTCGGATAAGGGTAGCGATGATCAACTTAAATACACGTAGTTCTCGTCCACTCTGTCCTGTTTGGATGTCAAAATTTAGTTAAAATAGTCAATAAAAATAAAAAATAAAGTAATTAATAAGTTAAAATGTCACGTTTAAATTATAATTATTTTAATTTTTGCTTCACAACTATCAATTCAACTTCAAAAAAAAAAATCAACTATCATCTCAAATATAACTTTTTTAATTAGGTTAAAAAAGTCAATTAACTAAAAAATTAATTAAAATAGTTAATTTTTCAAACGGAATTTCTATATAGTGTGGGGATTGTATTTTTTTAATTGGGTATTTAATTGGACAGTTTAATCCGACTCATTGTAGGCTCATATCACCTCTTCTCAATAATTTAAAATAGTTTATGTTATAGATTCGAGGACATGATGCCTTCTAAAACTTAGATCAATCAAATATTGAGAACTACTCGATCAATTCACTTTTGTCAAAAAAATAATAAATGGACTATTTCCAAAATTATATTGTTCATTAATTATTTTTCAGACAAATGTGATCCGATCGAGTAATTCTTGATATTTGATCGACTTGATTTTTGTATGCATGATCTCTTTAGAAATTTTTACTAAATAAGTTGTGTAGATTGTCAAAACAAACCCGAAATAGACCTATAGTGAGCTAAATTAGACCGTCCAATTATATATCCTAATTGGAGAGGATCCAATCCCTACAATGTGAAAACTGCATAATTATATATGGGATTTTGCTAACAAAATTTAAAATATTCACATATTCTTTATGACACATAATTTTATAAAAAATGTACAATAAATTTGAAATTATTAAGACACTAGTTATAACAAAATTGGTTATATTATATTTTGCTTAGACTATCTCTAATAGATCACATTATTTTAATCGTGTCAAAATGTCATATTTTATTGTGTCAAAATGTCATATTTGAGACTTACTCTTACAATTCATATGCTATTTTTTAAAACGATCACCGTATAATTAATTTTTATCACACAATACAATTATGAGTACTTAATTATATGACGTTTTAAAAAAAAAATTAAATTAAAAAAAAGTATACTCTAATAATTAATATTTATGAAATTTATTACAAGAGCCAACACCAATTGCCGAGTTCATTGTTCTTTATGAACATGTTTGGTACAATGGAATGAAATGAAATGAAATAAGAATGGAATGATAGTAATAATGGAATACATGGTAGAATGAAATGGAATGCTCATTCTCATTCCATTGTTTAGATGACATAATAGAATGATGTGGAAATGGAAGGATTATTCCCATTCCCATGTTTGGTTTGTTAAGTAAATTGAATATAATAGAATGGTTACGAAACTAATAACTACCAGATTAAATATTGTATAATCATATTAAATTTAAAAAATAAATAAAAATTGTAAAAAAATTCATTAATATGAACAAAATCATAAATTTTAAAATTGCACAATACCCACAATCATAATAAAAATATTCATCAAAGCAATACAAAATATGAAAAGGAAGTAACTTATGCTAGAATGATAGTAGTAAGTACATATACCTTGAAAAAAAATAAAAAATCAGTAATGTCTTTTATGCAGAATTTTTTTAATCTGTTAACAAGAAATAACAATCACTTGTGCAGTGTTTATGTATAGAATAAAAAATAATTTTTCAAATTTTTTTACAAGGCAAAAAAAAAAAACAACAAAGATACAAATCATTCAATTTTGTGTATGTGAAACAAAATTTAAATCAAGAAAAAAAGAAAAAAAAGATACAAACAAACTATATATATATATAAATAAATAAAAAAACATGATACATATATATATACATATATATATGATCTATTATACATTGAATATGAATTCATAGAGTTTCATATATATATATATATATATATATATATCTTACAACTAACATCTAAATAAATTGAAACATAATTTAAAAAATATATATATTGAACCTGATAGAAGAATAATGATAGAGTCGTCTATGGCTGATTGTTTGTATGTGAGAGTATTCGTAGAGAGAGATTGCAGAGAGAGAAGAAGAATTTTTTTTTTCTTGAAACAATCATTTTGTTTTTTTATTTTTATGAGAGAGATCGTTATTTTATTTTATAATGATTCCATGTTGGAATGGAATAGTTATTCCTTAGCTTCCCATATCGAATAAGTATTCTCACTTTTTGTTGGAATGGGCATTCTCATGGAATAACTATTCCCACTTAAATAAAACATAACAATTGAGGGAAAGGGAATACAAAGCTAGAATAGGCATTCCATTCCAGCCCATTCCATCGTACCAAACGTGCTCTTAATAATGCTTACAATTCTTAGACAAAAGTTTTATCATATTGACTCAAATACTCTTGTTGCTCAAGTATGGTCCTTTTTTCTTACCCGATTTGTGGTGTTGAGTATCCGCCATACTCATTTTCTCAGGACTTGGAGCAATTTCCTCGTGTCCAAGTTAGATTAAAACTTCAGAAAAGGAATCCCGATGCTGGGAAGGCTTTCAATCTGAACATTACATTGGAAAAAACAAATTCCCGGCGCAAACAATCAAGAGCTTTTACCCCTCGATTCCCAAAGGTAAAAAGTTCACCCTCTTATTTTTGCTCAAAAGCACAGCTGAGTTTGACATTTTTTTTTTTTTCCGTTTCTCTTTTACAGTTGAAAGATGAAGCATGGTGGTTGGTCCTAGGTAACACCTCAACCTCTGAACTCTATGCTCTGAAGAGAGTTTCTTTCTCCAATCGATTGGTCACCCACATGGAGTTGCCGTCAACTCCAAGCACTATCCAGGTTGGTAAACATTTCTTTTTTTTTTTTTGAAATTACATTTTCTTCTATTACTGTTCAAAGTGAATGACATGATAAAATTCTGTTCATGTTACGGCTGAGTCTGCCGGATTTAAAGTAGTTATAAACTGAAAATTGCATTATCTTTGCCAGGGGGTGAAGCTGATTCTAGTGTCAGATTGTTACATTGGGTTTGAACGAGAATACTCTGTAGGACTTGTTTAACCTTAATAACTGGAAGCTGGAATTTTTGAGCATTGTAAGTCCCAAATTTCAGAAGCCAAATTACACATATGATTGAGTGTTTTTGTCAATAGATAGAACAGATATAGTAGGGTCAGCTTCATTCAAATGGAATATACATTTGAGTATACTAGATATGTCAATATTATTTTTCTATCCATATGTCTATGGAGCCCAATGTAATTAAAACTTAAAAGGAACCCAATGTAATTATGTTAAATTTGTGTGGCTTATTGTATTTTCTTAAAATCTCAAGAAAGATCAGTGTAATTTATCCAAAAAATAAATATATTCTCATCACATGAATAAATTTAAGCTACGCACTAAATTTTGGATAAATTTCACTTCATTTCTTTGTGGTTTAATCCAACTATGATTACCCCGCATCATTTAGAAATAATCATATTTATTCCTTTGTGTTTTGTAATTTGAAATTCACTTTTAGTCATTCTGTCCAAGTTAATAGTATGTGTGTGACATGCACTCAACTAAGCGCGTGATCGAAATATTAAGGTACAGTATCATTCCACTTTCTTAAAAAATTATTCTTCATTTTCTACATAAATTTAAATATACTAATGACTAATGTTATATTTTTCATCATGCAAGATATTTGCAACATAGGAAACAAGACTCAACAACTATTGATGTATTAAAATATATTACATATTGGTAGTAATGCATTCTTACACCAATTGTATGCAAATAAATGCAATAATGGGTTTAATGAATTTGTATTATGAAACGAACTATTAAATAAAATTGTGTAATTGTGCAATTAATTTCATACCTTCAATTTTATAGGTACAGATTATGAAAAATTGAAGTGAGAAGTTGATAGAAAAAGATTTGTGTAATACTATATATTTAAAAGACCTGCTTATTGTTTATTGTTTAAAATAAGACTGTGATATCAATAATCTAGCTATAAATTAATTTTTATGTTTATAAAATTTCTTATTTATCATTTAAATTCTTCAGTCAAGTATGTATTAGATTCTTTCTTAGTTGTATTTTGGATACATAGTGGTACTTAC